ATTGTCCTCAGGCTCCAACTTTGTTTTATATTGATTGTATTAAAACAAAGAAAACAATCTGAAGTTGTTTTTAATTTACAGGTCCAGCCAACTTGGGACTAGATTTCCCTCAATGTGGCCCCCTGAGCGAAAATGAGTTTGACACCCCAGTCCTAGATCATATTTGTGCCTGTTCTACTGTCATTTTGAAGGATTATTATTTATGTGTTTTTACTACATTATGAGTAGAAATGCTAATAAAAACTCCCAATTATACAAACAAGTAAAACTGGAAAAATTAGAATCTGGTGCATAGTCAAATTTATTTCAGTAATTCAACTAGACAGAGAGACTATTTAAAGGCTCAGGAACCCTTTGCTGGCGTTTTCTATTTGTAATTACAAATTTTAGTTGATTTGGGTCTTGTTTCATATCACACAGTGACATTTGATTGATTAAAATGCATTTTTTATTAAAAGCTTTAGTTTTACAGTAATAACTGTCTAATGTTTAATTCTCTGTCTCATAATTTTAATTAAGTTTTGCTTTGAGAGCACATTTTCCTGAACGAATAAAATGCAATTAATTTAGATTAATTAATTACAAAGCCTCTAATTGATTAGATTAAAATTTTTAATCAAGTCCCAGCCCTATTTTTTATATATACTGTTATTTTGTCTTGTAATTGTTAATTGCACACTCCTTTATTCCATATCATAGCAGTGTTATTCATATATTAAAACTGTCAACTGCACACTCATTTGGCAGAATAAAAGTTTGACAATTATTCATTTGTTCTTTGTCATATTTCAGTAACATTTATAATCAAGCAAGTTGTAATTAAACAAATTAAACAAATGGCTGCAACATTTCCCCATGTTAAGTGCAGTAGACTGAAATGAATAGCTTTATTTGGAAATATAACGTATCTAATTTTTAACGGACTTATATAAAATCTTTCTTCAACATAGACCCCACTAATGAACTGATTAAGTGTTATTTTTTTATAAAAAGAAGAGAGAAAATGCACAAAGGTAGGAAAGGAAAAGAAAGTGATAAAAATAGGTTTTGTTAAATGTTCTTCAGATAATGAATTAATTGACAAAGTTTTTGCAGGGTCTGAAAAAAATGTTCAAGGTCAAGCTCCTGGGGCTAAGCCCCCCCCCCCCCATATCTCAATCCTAGTGACGTCCATGCATTCACTCATAAGGAAGGTGGACATGGACGTCTGAAGTACCACTGTAGTCCCTGCAGCGGCCACTTATCTACAGGTATTGTAGCTGAAATATAACAGAAGATACTGAGATCTGAGGTAGTGTAGAAGATCAATTATAGGAGGTTTTGATATTTATATTTGCAACAGAAATTATACAACTTGTCAAAGAAACTAAGTATGGTTCATTTCTGTTTCTAATGTGCTACTCTTAAAAATTTTTGACTAGCTCAAAGATTTTTTGTCTTGTCCTTTCAGCTGAAAGGTGACCTTAAACGATACCTGCCTGAATGTCCAAAAGTCTATCACAAATACTTCTTCAGTGCTTCTTTGTTAGGTTCTTCAAAGGCACCCAGTCATCGTTCCATCTGCTTCAGCTTCATCAAGATGCTGAGGTTTACCGTGGACCAGTTATTTTATATTGCATGTCTAAAATCAAATCAAATCAAATCACTTTTATTGTCACGTCTATTAACATTTAGATTAACATGTTAGATTCTATTAACAGATTTATTGGCTTGGATGAGGGCTGCACATTGGTGCAGTGCTTAGTGCTGTTGCCTTGCAGCAAGAAGGTCCTGGGTTCAACTCCCAACCTGGGGTCTTTCTGCATGGAGTTAGCATGTTCTCCCTGTGCATGCGTGGGTTCTCTACTTACTCCCACAGTCCATAAACATGACCGTCAGGTTGATTGTTTTCTCTAAATTGTCCCTAGATGTGTGTGTGTGTGTGTGTGCGTGTGTGTGTGTGTGTGTGTGTGTGTGTGTGTGTGTGTGTGTGTGTGTGTGTGTGTGTGTGTGCGCACTATGTCTTCTCCATCCCCAGTGAGTCGTGGAGGAGGGCTGCTTATACCGAGCGAGGATCCTCTGGAGGTTCCTTCCTGTTAAAAGAGTTTTCCTCTCCGCTGTCGCTAAATGCTTGCTTAGTATGCGAATTGCTGTAAAGTCACTCACACTAGTCAGTGACTTGATGCAATTTGCTGGGTTTCTTATTAGGAAACATTCTTCTGACTGGCTTAATGAACTGACCTGTATTGGAATCTTTACCATGTGAAGTGCCTTGAGACGACTCTTGTCGTGATTTGGTGCTATATAAATAAACTTGAATTGAATTGAATCATGCAGTTGTATGTACACTGAACAAAAATATCAACGCAACACTTTTGTTTTTGCTCCCATTTTACATGAGATGGACTTAAAGATCTAAAATTCATTCCAGATACACAATATTACCATTTCTCTCAAACATTGTTCACAAGTCAGTCTAAATGTGTGATAATGAGCACTTCTGCTTTGCTGAGATAATCGATCCCACCTCACAGGTGTGCCACATCAGGATGCTGATCTGACATCATGAGTAGTGCACAGGTGTGCCTTATAGTGCCCACAATAAAAGACCACCCTGGAATGTGCAGATTTGTCTCCCAGCAAAATGCCAAAGATGCAACAAGCATTGAGAGAGTGTGCAATTGGCATGCTGACAGCAGGAATGTCAACCAGATCTGTTGCTCGTGCATTGAATGTTCATTTCTCCTCCATAAGCTGTCTCTAAAGGCATTTCAGAGAATATGGCAGTACATCCAACCGGCCTCACAACCGCAGACGATGTGTAACCACACCAGCCCAGGACCTCCACATCCAGCAGGTTCACCTCCAAGATCATCTGAGACCAGCCACTCAGACAGCTGCTGAAACAGTTGGTTTGCATAACCAAACAATTTCTGCACAAACAGTCAGAAACCGTCTCAGGGAAGCTCAACTGCATGCTCGTCGTCCTCAACGGGGTCTTGACCTGACTCCAGCTCGTCGCCGTAACAGACTTGAGTGGGCAAATGCTCACATTCGATGGCGTCTGGCACGTTGGAGAGTTTATATGCTTTTATATTTTTGTTCAGTATATTTTTGCGTGTCCCCTTTTTTCTCTTTCTGCAGGTCTAGTTGCAGATTCTTTTAAATCTTTTGTCTTTTATTTTTATGACCTTTATGACACAATGACTTATTCAAATGTAGTGCAGACATTTAACTTGAAGAGGATGCTACACCGAGTTTATTGCAGAGTATTTATATTTTAAATAAGATAAATAAAAATGTCAAAATAATGGCTACATGTGTCTACAGCACTATTAGATGTTTATAAAGTTTATCAGCTAAAAAGCCTATTTGGCTTCAAGGATTTCCTTTATATTTTTGGAAATAAAAAAAATTCTACTTTTTTGTTGAAATTAAAGAGTAAAGCAACATTTGATGAACCCATTTTTCTGAATATATCTGGTTAAAAGTAAATTGGTGGCTTACATTTAATGTTTCACAGGGAAAAAAAAGTCCAAAACTGTTTGCTTTTGTTAATCATTTTTATTGCTGTAGATATTTTTTTTCACAGTTGAAAAAAATATAGAGATCACCCACAGACTTTTCACCAGTTAGTAAAAGGGCCCCAGTAACACGTGACTAAAACTTGCTAAAGTGACAGAAAAAAGAACAAAAATCTGCTTAAAATCCCATTTTTCATTTCTCTCAGGTCATTTTCAGTCGTGGATTCAGTTAACATGAAAAAAACATGGACATCCAAAGCGAACCTTGTAGTCGCTGCATTGTTGACCAGATGGCTGATCTGCATTGAGGCAAATGAAGCCTAGAATAGTATTATAGCTGAAAGATAACAGAGAGTACTTAGTTAGTTTGTATTATAGTTATAAAGCAATCAAAATGTTTGTTATGATGCAAAGAAAGTTGGGAAAATAGTTTTTCTTGATTATTTGATACAATAATAAACTAAAAACAGAGTCAAGAACATTAAATTTTCTAACCTATAAACTAATATTCTGGATATTCAAAGGAGACTCACGCATAGAAATTCTGCCCTGTGCTTTCAGCTGGGATGTTTCCGATGACAGTGACGGCCTGAATGTCCAAAGGTCTGGGACAAATCTGTCCAGGGTATGCCAGCCTCAGGTTCCTCAGATCCTCCCAGTCACCTGTTCCACCTGGATTGTCCCGATCGTACCAACTAGTCCAGCACAGTCTCTCAATGATGGGATCCGCTGACGGTGCCACTTCAGGAGCAAAGGACATTTATTATAAAAAGACGTCTTAAATATGCGACTAATATTTACTCGTATGTTAAAGTTAAATTGTCTTACTTCCGATACTTGGTTTCATACAGGCTAGAAAAAAAAACAATGATACCAGTTAGTGGTGTAATGTCCAGAAATTGTCAATTTTCACCTACATATTTGGCACTGGCCATCAGCAGACCTAATTATATCCTTTTATTTGTTTGTGAACGATTGTAATATTTAGAAAACTGTCTGAACTCACCAAGCAGCAAAACTGCAAGAACAGTGAGACTCATCTGTAAAAAAAGACATAGTTGTTTAAAAAGTAACATTTTTAAAGGGAAGTTGTGCAATGTCCAAAGTTCTCTTGACTGTCTTTTCCTTTGATCTAAAACACAACAAATAACATCTTACCAGCTTGGTCATGACTTCAGAACTCAGATGTCTGTTTTCCCAGCTGCAAAACAAAATAAAGACATTTAAATGTTTTGTTTTCAAGCTTAATATTTATTTGAATGTGAGTTTTACCAACAAGCAATAAAAATTCTATTTTCTGTTAGAAGTTTAAGAATGTTTTGTTTTCTTACCTGTAAAAACCAGGAGGAACTTAGCAAGAGAACCTCTCTGTTACACAGGATGGTTGTGTGTACCTCAGCCTTTTTATACTAACATCCCTGCCTGTGGCACCAATTCTTTAACACAAATATGTGGCTCCTGATTGATTATTTTCTAAGAAGTTAGCTGCATTTTTAAACATGAAAGGGAGAGAGACCAGTTCTGCAGGACAGACTCCCAAAAAGTCTGGTTTTAAATGCACATAAACAAGCTGGCTAGGCTACTCTTTCTTTGTGTTTTGACTCAAGCACATGATGCTAAGCATGCTCCAACATTTCAAAAATTACTTCTGTCAAAGAGGATAGATGAAGACAAAAAGACAAACACACTTTAAACTTTTGTATGCATTAGTTTAGGCTGGTGCATAAATGCATAAAGAGTAGTTTCCATGCAGGGATATGCATGCAGTTATGGCATTCACTTCTTCTTCTTCTTCGATTATTTAGCTTTTTATTGTTTTTTTTTTTGTTTTGTGAAAGACTCAGCAGCTGACCTATAATAGCAGTAAGTTGTGTATGCGTACCTATAGCTTTTTATAGTAACACCCTGATCATGGCTGCAGAAATCAGATGCTGGTTTTCACCACTGCAAAAAAATATACTGACCTTTTTTTCACAATAAATATATCTTTCAATGCAATTTTTTTTTTAAAAACTGATGATTTTTTTTTCTTTTAGTAGTTTTAAGAGTGTTTTTTTTTTCTTACCTGCAAAACCAGGTAGCAAGAGACCCTCTCTGTTCCATATGTGTAATGGTGGGTGAAAGTTTTCTGACCCACATGAAAGAATCACACACGGGAAAACAGGTAAGATTTTACAAAACGTTTATTTCTCTAAAGGAACTTAAAAAGGGAAACTTAGGATGCTGTTCCAAAACGAGAAAGGATGAAAGTCCGGGTCTAAAACAGAAGAACGAATGGGGTGAGAACCAGGTGATAAATGGAAAATTGAGTAATCTTACGGTGGAAGGACAGAGGACAGGTTGGAAGGGGCAAGGCTGGTGAGGTCCGGTCTGAGATGGATCAAGCTGAGGTGACTGGGTCGTAGTTGAGGAAGATTCAGGGCAAGTGGACGGTGGAGAGTGGGCAGCCAGGGGAGGTGAGCGACGTAGAGATAGACACACTTCCGGCAGGCTGGGATCGAGACTAGAATCCAGGATGGTTACTCTTTGGCAGGGGCGGCATTAGGCCCGGCTACTTGGGCTCAAGCCCCGAATGTTTTATGAACAGCCCCAGATCTAAATCGTGGAAGTAACATGCAGTATCAAAGTCCAGCAGAGAGGGAGCAGCTGGCAGTAGTTTGTATACAGCCTGCCTGAGCCTCCACCACTGAAGAAGAAGCCCTTCAGCAGCCGGCTTCTTCTACACTCTGCCTGAAACGCATGAGTGACATTTTTTTAGACCAAAAGTACAACGACAGAACCCCAGCTTTGATGAGACTGGTGTTGACTCAGGTTTGTGAGTCTTATTTGAAAATATTTGTTGTGCTGCTGCTGGTTTGCCTAAAGTTAGCTTACTATCAGGTAAAGTGGTTGGAGAAAGAAAGGGAATATTTACTATCATCTCACACTAAACACTAACAGGAACAATACTCTGCCCTGAATATGCTTAATATGTAGCTTCAGATTAAAAATTATGTGGTACAAGACAAATATATATGATGTTGACTAGTGTGTGTCACGTGTGTGTAAAATTCTTTTTTTCTTTTAGAAGTTTTAAGAATGTTTATTTTTTCTTACCTACAAAACCAGGTAGCAAGAGGCCCTCTCTGTTCCATATGTTAGTTATGCATGCCTCAGCCTTTCATACTGATACATCACTCCTTCAGGCACAAATTCTTTAACACAAAAAGCTGATCCTAATTAAAAGTTTTCTGAGTGTTTTGCTGCATTTTCAAACATAAAATGTAAGAAGACCAGTTCTGAAGGACAGGCTTTTAAGGAAAAATTAGTCAGATGTTAGTGGCTGATTTAAGTTTATCAAGATTTGGCGTTCTTATTCTGAGGATCATGTAGGTCTTTCATTTACATTGGCTAGAAAGTTTTGTCTGGGAATGAAATGGATACAGTAAAGATCGAAAAAACTGTTAAAGTACATATTATGCTTCCTTTTCCAGGAGCTCATCACTCGTGGGAGGGGCCAAAGCGGTGAGGTTGGACTCACCTCGACCTAAAGCTCTAATTCCGGAGCCAGTTTTCCCGAGAGAAGTTGGACATTCTTCCACTTTCAAGTTGCTGCCCACTGAGAGGCACTGAGCAGGGGTGGGTATGCTTGTTGCACCCCCATCTTGATGCCTGTACATAGGAGTTTACCCCTGTGAAAGACAGGTTAGCCTCCCTCTGCCCACATGAGGTGAGAAGGGGTCTTACTGAGCTTGTGCACCAACTGCAGGTCAGATTATCCACCCGTTTTGGAGTTCTCAGAGGGTGTGCTGGAGACCATAACTTCAAACATGTCCCAGAGGATGTGGGGGACATTGAGTCAGAGTGGGCCATGTTCTGCACCTCCATTGTTGAGGTGGCTGACCAGAGCTGTGGTGTCTGCCATGGCTGCAACCCTCAGACTCGCTGGTGGACACTGAGGGCGAAGGTATGTCCCAAGGGCGTAGGAACCGGGGGGGACGGGTGGGACGTGTCCCCTTCAATATTGGACAAACGCGCATTTGTCAATTCAATTCAATTCAATTTTATTTATATAGCGCCAAATCACGACGAGTCGTCTCAAGGCACTTCACATAATAAACATTCTAATTCAGGTCAGTTCATTAAGCCAATCAGAAATAATGTTTTCTATATAAGGAATCCAGCAAATTGCATCAAGTCACTGACTAATGTCAGTGACTTTACAGCAATCCTCATACTAAGCAAGCATAAAGCGACAGTGGAGAGGAAAACTCCCTTTTAACAGGAAGAAACCTCCAGAGAATCCTGGCTCAGTATAAGCAGCCATCCTCCACGACTCACTGGGGATCGAGAAGACAGAGCAGGCACACACACACACACACACACACACACACACACACACACACACACACACACACACACACACACACACACACACACACACACACACACACACACACAAAGACAAGTAATGTGTCTATAGTTATATTGTGATTTCTTAGTAAATATTCTATTTGGTGAGAGATAAACTTTATTATATTTATCCTAGTGGATCTATAATTAAACGGGTAAACTAGTAGTAGCACATCCAACGTCAAGGAAAGCAAAAAGTTATTATCAGGAGAGGGAGAATGTTTAAGTGGTTAGCAGCAGTGTGCTAGACGATGGGCCCTTCATGAGGCCACCGCAGCTCAGCAGAACATCATTGTAGCTTCTTCTGGGGAGAAAAACACTTAGAGAGAAAATAAAGTTAACAGCTGACATAGCAGAAAATAATACAGTTAAAGAGCAGATTGTAGAAGAAAGGAGTAGAGTGTGAAAAGTGTTCAGTGTGTCCTCCAGCAGTCTCAGCCTATAACAGCACAACTACAGAGATTACTCTGGATAACCTAGCCTTTATAGATGGAGACATGTTGGAGCCAGGGCAAGGGAGAGCCGCCTTCACTGACTGCACACTCCACCTCCCTCTACTCCCCCACTTGTCCAGATCTAGGCTAACATCAGATTTTAACCATAGGCCCCATCAAATAAAAATGTTTTAAGCCTAGTCTTAAAAGTAGACAAGGTGTCTGCCTCATGGATTAAGGCTGGGAGCTGGTTCCACTGGAGAGGAGCCTGATAACTAAAAGATCTGCCTCCCATCCTAATTTTAGATATTCTGGGAACCACCACTAAACCTGCAGTCTGAGAGCTAAGTGCTCGGTTAGGAACGTATGGAACAATCAGATCACTGATGTATGATGGAGCTTGATTATTAAGAGCTTTATATGCAAGAAGGAGGATCTTAAAATCTATTCTGAATTTAACAGGCAGCCAGTGTAGGGAAGCTAAGACAGGAGAGATATGATCTCTCTTTTTAATTCTCATCAGAACTCTAGCTGCAGCATTTTGGACAAGCAGAAGACTTTTAACTACATTCTGTGGACTTTCTGAGAGTAATAAATTACAGTAATCCAGCCTTGATGTAATAAATGCATGAACTAGTTTTTCAGCATCACTTCTGGAAAGGATGCTTCTAATCTTAACAACATTCCGAAGGTGGAAAAAGGAGATCCTACAAACCTGTTTAACTTGGGATTTGAATGGCATGTCCTGGTCAAAGATAACACCAAGGCTCCTTACTTTGTTCTCGGAGATTAATGTAATGCCATTCAGGTCTGGTGATTGACTAAGCAATTTCCTTATCTGGATTTCTGGTCCAAAGATGAGAACTTCCGTCTTGTCTTGATTTAAAAGCAAAAAGTTTAGAGTCATCCAATTTTTTATGCCCTCGAGACAAGCCTGTAATCTACCTAACCGATTAGGTTCATCAGGGTTAATGGATAAATATAACTGAGTATCGTCAGCATAACAGTGAAAGTTTACCCCGTGCTGTCTAATGATTTTACCAATTGGGAGCATATATATAGTAAAAAAAATTGGTCCAAGCACTGAACCCTGTGGTACTCCACAAGTATCCTTGGAGTATAAAGACGATTTGTCATGTACATTTACAAAATGAAATCTATCAGACAGGTAGGATTTAAACCAGCCTAGTGCTGTTCCATTGATCCCTACAACATGTTCAAGTCTTTCTATAAGAACATTGTGATCTATTGTGTCAAAGGCAGCACTGAGATTTAACAAGACTAGAACAGACCCAAGATTCTTATCTGAGAACATGATAATATCATTTGTAACTTTCACTAATGCAGTTTCAGTGCTGTGATACTCTCTAAAACCAGACTGAAATTCCTCAAACAGATAATTAGTGTTTAAATGCTCACATACTTGGATGGCCACTATTTTCTCCAGGACTTTGGATAAAAATGGAAGGTTAGATGTTGGTCTATAATTGGGTCATCTGGATCTAGAGAAGGCTTCTTAAGTGAAGGTTTGATTACAGCAACCTTAAAATCATGTGGTACATATCAATTTACTAAGGATAGATTGATTATATCTAGAATGGGGGCAGTAACCAAAGGAAATGTATCTTTAAATAGTTTGGTTGGGATTGGATCTAAAATGCAAGTTGAAGGTTTAGATAAAGCTAATATTTTTGATAACTCTGAAAGCTCAACTGGATCAAAACGGATCAAACACAGATGAGGTTCTACAGTTACCTCTGATGCTGCCTCACTTACTGAGGAAGAAGAAATCGCATTAGGGAGGATGCTAAAGATTTTCTTTCTAATAGAATTAATTTTACTTGTGAAAAATCCCATAAAGTCATTACAGCTGAGGGCTAAGGTGTAACTGCTCATGAAGGATATTTTGTTTTTTGTGGAATAAAACGTCATGCTCCAACTGATGTTCAACTGGTTCTTTATCTTCTTGTTACCAGCAAACACCGTGAAAAACTACGGTGAAATGAACAACAATAAAAACAAATATTAATTTTAGAAACATAAACTTATAACTCAGATATTAATGCAATACAGATAAATATACAAACACACCGTGTGCGCCTCTCCACTTAATATTCACAAGCAATTTCAGTCCATGTCCACTTTTCTTTATCCGATGTGAGCTTCTTCTGGTCGCTTCTCCGTGCTTGTGTCAGTTAATCATTCGCTCCGCTCGCGCGCACCTTCCAGTGTCAAATTTCAATCCAGCCAGCAGGTGGCGTCAAATCAACAAAGAAATTAAATTAAATATTTCCACAGTTAAATCAAACAAATGACAATGAATAACCACATTTAACTGCGACAGCTACACTGCCACCAAAATTACAATGATTGAAATTCACTACACATTAAAGAACTTTAAATCTTGTAATTTTCAATAAAATAACTATCAACTATAAACCTTTGTTATGAAACACACAGAAATCAGTAACTTGATAAACTCAAATATCACATTTTAATGTTGTATCAAATTTTGTACTTTACTGTAGTTTAGGACTCACTTTTAACCAAAACCACTAGTTTTTGAACAGGTCTCTCCAGAAAAGATAGTTGTCTCAGACGTTCACCTTTGTTCCCTAAATCTCTTTGACCTACTTGGATCTTAACCTTTCTCACTAAACCATCATCGTCTTCACTGGCTTCAACTACCTTTGCCAATTTCCATTAATTTCTTGGAATGTTGTCTTCCTTTAATATCACTACATCTCCAACTTGAACATTTCTTTTGGGGTTGTGCCATTGTTGCCTCAAACTAATGGTAGTCAAGTATCCTTTGCGCCACCTGCTCCAAAACAGTTCCGTTAAATATTGCACTCTCCGCCACCTTTTTCTGGCATATAAATCTTCACTGACAAATCTACCAGGAGGCGGAAGTGGTACTGATTCTTTCATAGTGAGCAAATGGTTAGGCGTCAAAGGCTCAGCACTCTTGGGATCATTCATTGTGTTAGTAGTGAGTGGATGCTGGTTCAAAATTGACATGGCCTCATAGAAAAAAGTTCTCAAGGAGGTGTCATCTAATCTTCCTGTGGCTTGTGCTAGGACAGAGCTCATGACGTTCCTAACTGTCCGGATCTGGCGCTCCCAAACGCCTCCCCTGTGACTAGCTTCGGGAACATTCATCAGAAAATCACATTGGTTTTTAGCAAGATAAGTAGAAATCCTCTCGTTGTCTAACTCCAACAGACACTTTTTGAACTCGTTCTTTCCCCCTACAAAATTGGTACCTTGGTCAGAACGAATTTGTCTCACTGTGCCCCTGATAGCTATGAAGCATCTTAAAGCATTTATAAATGCGTCAGTGGAGAGATCCTCCAAAATCTCAATGTGTACAGCTCTAGAACTTAAACAAGTAAACATCAAGCCATATCTCTTACACTCTTTTCGACCCTGTTTCGTATAGAAGGGGCCAAACACATCAAGTCCAGTGTAGGTGAAAGGTGGTGAAGGATTTACTCTGTCACATGGTAAATCAGCCATGCGTTGTTCTTCAGTTGGTCCACGCACCTTTCTACAAATGATGCATTCTTTAATGAGCTTGGCCACTACCTTACTAGCACCTATGATCCAATAACCATTTGCTCTAAGTTCGTTCAGAGTTTGGCCTCTGCCTTGGTGCTGTGTTTTCTTGTGGTAGTGGTCAAGAACAAGCTGAGTGACAATGCCTTCTTTAGGAAGGATTACTGGATGTTTCAGTTCAAATGATGCTGAGGACTTTCTCAACCGTCCTCCTACTCTAAGCAAGTTGTCTACAAGGATAGGATCCAGTTGATACATCTTATGGGCTTTTGGTAGTTTAGCTGTTTTTTGACTAAACCATCTGAGTTCCTCTTCAAAAGCTTCCTTCTGTGCTAGCTGGAAGAGTACAGAAGCAGCCATTTGTCTTTCTTTCACACTGATGGCTCCTGATTTGTCTCTTTTTGCAAGTCTTTTAATCCTTGCCACCACATTAAGTGCTGTGATCCAATAAGAGCATTTCATGAACCTCTCAAGAAACCTGTCTTGCTCAATAGCATCTGTTTTAAGAACTTTTACCTCTGGGTCACCAACAAGAAGTTCTGGAGATTGTTGGTTTGTGATAATTTCTCTTTCCCAAAGGAATTTAGGTCCAGTGAGCCAGTTTGAGTTTATTAGCTCTGCCACCTTGAGGCCTCTAGATGTGTGGTCAGCTGGATTTTGATCAGCTTTAATGTAAAACCATTGGTTTGGGTCTGTAGTGTCTCTTATTTTTTGAACTCGATTTGCAACAAACACATGAAAGCGACGAGCATCGTTTTTTATGTACCCAAGAGTCACTTGAGAATCTGTCCAGAAAAACTCCTCGTCGATTTTCCGCTCAAGCTCTGCTCTAAGAAAGTTACTAACAAAAGCAGAAACTGCAGCTGCAGTGAGCTCGAGGCGCGGGATTGTGACTATTTTTATAGGTGCCACTCTGGCTTTACCCATAACTAGAGCACAATGCACTTGTTCATCTGTAACAAACCTAATGTATGAGCATTGTCCATAGCCACTGCTGCTAGCATCAGAAAAATGATGCAGCTCAACCTTTTTGATTTTGCCTAGGTTCTCAGGAAAGAGGCATCTAGGTATTTCGACCTTTCGAAGATTTTCCAAGTCACAGAGCCAAGCTTTCCACTTGGTTTCCAGTGCGGAAGGAACAGGTTCATCCCATCCAACTCCACTTTTGCACATTTCCTGGAGTACTTGTTTTCCTATCAAAGTGTAGGGTGAAAGAAATCCTAACGGGTCATACACACTTGCTACTGTTGCTAGAATTCCTCGGCGTGTGGCTGGCCTTTCTTTGAGGGCTCCACTGAATGTGAACACATCGGCTTCCACATTCCATTTTACTCCCAGCACACTTTTCATTGGAACTTCAGAGTAGTTCATGTTTACATCCGTAGTGTTGCCAGCTCGTTCAGTTTCAGGAATAACACTCATGACCTCTTTGTTGTTGCACACAAATTTGTGCAAACGCAACTTCCCTTTAACACAGAGTTTGAGTGCTTCACAGACTAGCTGCTTGGCTTTCTTATCTGTTTCAACACTGAGAAGCCCATCATCCACATAAAAGTTTTTGTGAATGAAACTGGCTGCCAGTGGGTAGTCCTTTTCGTTTCTTCTGGCAAGATGTTTCATGCCAAAGTTAGCACATCCAGGCGATGACGCTGCACCAAACACATGCACTCGCATGTGATATTCCTTTGGCTCAGTATTTGTATTTCCATCCTTCCACCACAAAAACCTTAAGAAATCTCGATCCTCTGGATTAACATGGAAGCGGTGAAACATTTTCTCCACATCGCACATTATTGCGATTCTGTTCTCTCGGAATCTGCACAATATTCCTGCCAGAGTATTGATCAAGTCTGGGCCTGTAAGTAAGTGGTCATTTAAAGAGGTGTCTTCATGTTTAGCAGAGCAGTCAAAAACAACTCTAATTTTTTCTGGCTTTCTGGGGTGATACACACCGTGGTGTGGAATGTACCATGTGTTACCATCCTGTGGTGTTTCTTCTGCTTCCTCTGCATCACCATCTTTAAACACATTATTCATGAACTTTATGTAATCTTCTTTGTACTTGGGGTTCTTGTCCATTTTCATTTTCAAATATTTCAGACGAACTGTTGCAAGCTGCTTGTTATTTGGAAGCTGTGGACGTTCTTTAAAAGGTAAAGGCATTTCTAAATGACCTTGCTCATTGTAGTGAATGTTTTCATTTAGCATCTCTAAAAACTTAATGTCCTCTTGAGATATGTTCCCTTCTTTGGGGTTAGTGTCCAGAAAATCAGCTTCAAGTGCTTTAATCACAGATGCAGGTGTAATAGATGGCAATTCCTTTACTATTACACGATGGCAGGTCCCAGTTGCGCCCACTGAACCTGTCCATGGCTTAATGGGTCCCACAATGCTCCATCCCAAGTCTGTTTTAACTGCATAGGGATCATAATCCTCTCCGGGTATGACCTTCCTTGGTTTTAGAGCTCTTGTACAGTCATAACCAATGAGGAGAGCTACAGGACAGTCCAAGAGATCTGGCATTTCATTTGCAATGCTGAGTAGGTGGGACCATTTTTTTTGCAGTCTCTCGAGTTGGAATACTGTTTTTCTCAAGTGGAATGTATTCTCGAGTATATGTAGGTGGCAATTCAATATACTCTTGTGAGTGGTACCCTCTAACTCTCAGTCCTTCCACTCTTTGACTAGGCACAATAGAACACCTGTCAGTTATGGTTGTCAGCTTTAATTTAACGGGTCCTGTTCTTGCTTGTAATTTTTCACAAACATTTTGATCAATAAATGTATTGCTGCTTTGGGTGTCTAGCAAAGCATAAACCAATGTCTCTGGTCTATTTGTTGAAGAAGAAAGCCAAACTGGGACAATCATTGAAGTGCAATCACTGTTGTCCAATTTCACACTGCATGATACAGTGGCTGCATTTTCCTCTTTCGGTAACATCTCAGGCTTATCTGGTTGTGGATGATCTTCATGAAGAGGAGAAGGGTGCTTCTGCTTACAAACATTACATGTTACTCTTTGTTGACAGTTCTTGGATATGTGACCAACACGAAGACAACCAAAGCACATATTGTTGTCGATAATGAACTGCTTCTTTTCTTCAAGAGACATTGCTGTAAACTTGTCACATTTGTAAATAAAGTGATTTTGCCTGCAGCAGATGCATTCAATTTGCCTTTTATTCTGAGTTGAGGAAAGGTTGGGTTTGGATTTTTTGTTGATCTGTGTTGCAGCTGTGGCCTTTTCATTTGTAGACACATTCGTTGTTGTCATCAGGACACTGGCTTTCTGACGTTTTTGTTCCTTTTCAGGTTTTTCAAATATGTTCTTTAAGGCAAACAAAGAAGAAACTGGATTGCATGCTATTCGTGCTTCTTCTGCCACAAAGTCAGCAAACTCTGTGAAACCTGGATATTCCTTTCCTTCATCTAACAGTTTTGACACATAACGGTTCCAGCGGGTTGTTGCCAATTCAGGAAGTTTCAGTAATAATTTTTGATTCTCCTCACAATCATCCAACACTTTGAGGCCCTGAACATGGGGCATAGCATTCTTACAGGAAACAAGGAAATCACTAAACTCTCTCAGCTTTAGTGACTCTTTTGGTCCGATCTTTGGCCAACTGCTTAGCTTTCCCCGAAAAGCTCTTTGAACTACAAATGGGTGGCCATAACGGTTGTTCAGAGCATCCCAAGCTTGGTTGTAAGCTTCCTCATCACTGCGATAGAATGTCCCTTCTAAAACACCAAGAGCTTCTCCATTAATGTATTTCTTCAAGTAGAAAAGTTTATGGGCTGAATTTGTGCAACTAGTCTCAATAAGAGCCTTGAAGCAAGTGCTCCACTCAGTAAACTTCAGTGGGTCTCCTGTAAAGGTAAATGGCTCTGGTATTGGAAGTCTAGTCATTGCTAAAGACTCCTTTAAAGCTTGAACTAGAGATAACTCACTTTCTTTTGACGCTACTCTAGTATCACACTTGGGCACTGGAAGATATTTTGGGATCTTGTTGATTATACCTTCAAAGTTAGGAGGTGCCGTACTCTGGATAGCTTGGGTGTATGGAGGACTGTTAAGAGGTTTGGGAAGCTGACTAACAGAGTAAGGACCTTTTACTTCACTGTTTCTTATTTCAGCATTCAATTTTGATTCCTCTTCAGCATACACATTGTATTCAGCCTCAATAACCTCAAGATCTCTTTGCTTTTCCAACAATTTTAATCTCTCTTGTTGAGCTAATATCTCCTTTCTTTGGGCAGAAATTTCCTTTTCCCTGCTTATTTCAGCTCGTTTAGATGCCAACCGTGCAGCTGCCTCTGCTTTCTTTGCAGATACCTGACTTCCTTGCTTACTATAACTGTTCTGGCTACTTTTTTCAGCCCTAGACACAGTTGAGCCATACATTGACTTAGCATCTTCTCTCTGAAGCAACTGAAGGAGTGAGTCTTTTACAGCAATTGCATCAAACTCCTTATCAACATCTGCATAGCGCCTTTTCAGAAGCAACATCATTTCAGTGGAAACTGAAGAACAGCTATCCATCTTTCTTCTGAAATCTTGAGATGGAGTAGTCAGTGTACGTAAAGCTACATAATCTTGCTGTAGGTCAGATTCACATTTTCCTACTGATTTGATCATTTCAGTTAACTCTGCTTTGAACATTCCTTTTTAAGTTTGGACCTAGAGAGTTGAATCTCTGCTTTAAAGTTTACATATGTTGACATAAACTTTCTTTCTTTACTTGTTATCTCAGACTGTTTAAAGTCACGCATTTTTTCTGTTAGTTTTCTTTGACGCTCTGAGCTTCTCACCTCTGTCTCAGGTTGGGATGATGGCTGAGTCAAACCTATTTTATGTATTTCAAGGTCTGCATAAATTTCACCTAAGCGTATTTCAACTTCCTCTCTTTCTGCATCTTCAACTTCAGTTTCTAATTTCTTTTCTAAATGTAACTTTTCAAATTCTAAAGCTACAAGTACTTCCTCTAAAACACGAGTTTCTTGTACACCCTGCTCCATTGTGAACAATATTTTAAACCAACAGCTAAGAACAATGAAAGAAAACAACATGAGAACACTACTTCAAATTTCAAACTGTAAAATAGTAACAAACCTTTTTTCTTTTTAACAAACTTTCAATAATATCTGTAGCATACACCGTTAATGTCCGTTTTTAAACAACTTTCAATATCTGTAGCATACACCGTTAATGTCCGTTTTTTTAACAGCATTCAATATCTGTAGCATACACCGTTAATGTCCGTTTTTTAAACAACTTTGAATATCTGTAGCATACACCGTTAATGTCCGTTTTTTAAACAGCATTCAATGTCTGTAGCATACACCGTTAATGTCCGTTTTATTTATTTTTTTATTTTTTTTTAAACTCATAGAAACAGTCTGACCTGGTTTCGTATGATGTTGAAAGGCTCTGCAAAACTGCTCAATTCCCAAAACGTCGTATCGGCCCTCTTTATTTCATGCGGATTGGGCCGCAGACTGTGGACTGCCGTCTTCAAAGCATGGCATGCAGGGCTCTGGCTGCGTACTTCTTAACAGGACACATTTTTCACTGTAACTGCTCATGAAGGATATTTTGTTTTTTGTGGAATAAAACGCCATGCTCCAACTGATGTTCAACTGGTTCTTTATCTTCTTGTTACCAGCAAACACCGTGAAAAACTACGGTGAAATGAACAACAATAAACACAAATATTAATTTTAGAAACATAAACTTATAACTCAGATATTAATGCAATACAGATACAGGTGCTGGCCAGTAAATTAGAATATCATCAAAAGGTTGAAAATATTTCAGTAATTCCATTCAAAACGTGAAACTTGTACATTATATTCATGCAATGCACACAGACCAATGTATTTCCGATGTTTATTACGTTTAATTTTGATATTTATAGGTGACAACCAATGAAAACATCAAATCTGGTATCTCAGAAAATTAGAATATTCTAAAGGCCAATGAAAAAATGTTTGTTTCTCTAATGTTGGCCAACTGAAAAGAATGAACATGAAAAGAATGTGCATGTATAGCACTCAATACTTAGTCGGGGCTCCTTTTGCCTCAATAACTGCAGTAATGCGGCGTGGCATGGACTCGATCAGTCTGTGGCACTGCTCAGGTGTTATGAGAGCCCAGGTTGCTCTGATAGTCGTCTTCAGCTCCTCTGCATTGTTGGGTCTAGCGTATTGCATCCTCCGCTTCACAATACCCCATAGATTTTCTATGGGGTTAAGGTCAGGCGAGTTTGCTGGCCAATCAAGGACAGGGATACCATGGTCCTTGAACCAGGTGCTGGTGGTTTTGGCACTGTGTGCAGGTGCCAAGTCCTGTTGAAAGGTGAAGTCTGCATCCCCATAAAGTTGGTCAGCAGCAGGAAGCATGAAGTGCTCTAAAACTTCCTGGTAGACGGCTGCATTGACCCTGGACCTCAGGAAACAGAGTGGGCCAACACCGGCAGATGACATGGCACCCCACACCATCACTGACGGTGGAAACTTTACACTGGACCTCATGCAACGTGGATTCTGTGCTTCTCCGCTCTTCCTCCAGACTCTGGGTCCTTGATTTCCAAAGGAAATGCAGAACTTGCTTTCATCAGAAAACATAACTTTGGACCACTCAGCATCAGTCCAGTCCTTTTTGTCCTTGGCCCAGGCGAGACGCTTCTTGCGCTGTTTCATGTTCAAGAGTGGCTTGACACACGGAATGCGACACCTGAATCCCATGTCTTTCACGAGTCTCCTCGTGGTGGTTCTTGAAGCGCTGACTCCAGCTGCAGTCCACTCTTTGTGGATCTCCCCCACATTTTTGAATGGGTTTGTCGTCACAATTCTCTGCAGGGTGCGGTTATCCCTAGAGCTTGTACACTTTTTTCTACCACATTTTTTCCGTCCCTTCGCCTGTCTGTTAATGTGCTTGGACACAGAGCTCTGCGAACAGCCAGCTTCTTTAGCAATCACCTTTTGTGTCTTGCCCTCCTTGTGCAAGGTGTCAATGATTGTCTTTTGGACAGCTGTTGAGTCAGAAGTCTTCCCCATGATTGTGGTGCCTTCAAAACAAGACTGAGGGACCTTTTAAAGGCCTTTGCAGGTGTTTTGAGTAAATCAGCTGATTAGAGTGGCAGCAGGTGTCTTCTATATTCAGCCTTTTCAGAATATTCTAATTTTTTGAGATACCAAATTTGGAGTTTTCATTAGTTGTCACTTATGAATATCAAATTTAAATGTAATGAACATTGGAAATACATTGGTCTGTGTGCATTGCATGAATATAATGTACAAGTTTCACGTTTTGAATGGAATTACTGAAATATTTTCAACCTTTTGATGATATTCTAATTTACTGGCCAGCACCTGTATACAAACACACCGTGTGCGCCTCTCCACTTAATATTCACAAGCAATTTCAGTCCATGTCCACTTTTCTTTATCCGATGTGAGCTTCTTCTGGTCGCTTCTCCGTGCTTGTGTCAGTTAATCATTCGCTCCGCTCGCGCGCACCTTCC